TGCGCTTCCAGCAGCCATGATAAACAGTTGGCGGTTAAAGTTTTCTATGCACAATTTGATTTGACGAAAGTCACGAGACCTATTACTCTCTATCCAATCACGTTGATGGATAAAAATACAATTAAAATAAGCATGTAACGACCACAAACGGAGGAAAATAGCGGAGTAAAAGTACTGATACATCACTTAAAATGTACTCAAGTAAAAGTAAAAGTACACAATTTTTAAGCTACTCAAAAAAGTACAATTACTGATAAAAACGACTTAATTACTGTAACGTGAGTATTTGTAATTCGTCACTTCACACCCCTGAGAATTGGTCATAAAAACTGAAACCGAAGTGAATCAAGGTGTAGAAAAGAGGATGAATCAAAAGCGATACTTATGTCCCTTGCCGGTGTCCCTGCATGGTGGAGTCGCACGATAGATTCGATGGTCTTTACACTCTTCGGTCTTCACACGAGGGCTGCTGCGACCGTTGATGCGGTATACTAACCTTTTTATACTCGTTTGATTTGTCAAGGAACAAATCAACCGTGGCAAGGAACAACAGAAATTGAATTCCGCTTAACACACTTTACTGTTCATCACAACAAAGGGCTAAGCAAGCACACAACACTGACAAGGTATGCGAAACAGTACAAGACCAAACATGACTTCAGCATGTCTCAACGCAGTAAACAAAACAAGCATTTTCTAGCAATGACAACTGCCCTAAACACTAATGAGACAAGCAATAAATAAACTTTTAACTTCCGCTGATTGACTGCTTCGCTCAAAGAGTATTTCTTTACACTGTCTTTTGCTAGCGCTTGAACACACTTTACTGTTTATCACAACAAAGGGCTAAGCAAGCGCACAACACTGACAAGGTTCAAGATTCAGTGATGTCATCATCCAGTTCAGCTCTCTTCCAATAATGTCTGTGCAATCAGTCAATCGTCCCCAACTAAGCAAGCCAAAGGCAACCGTGGCAAGGAACAAAAACTCCATCGGTGACAGAAATGGAGAAAAATCCTTGGGAGAAACCAGGCTCAGTCGGGGGACCAGTTCTCCTCTGGCCAGACGAAACCAGCATGGCGTGGTTGAATTCCAGGCTGCAACACGTGTGCAGAGGACTTGTCTGGTTCCCGTGGTCTTGCACCGATGGTCGTCAAGGTGACAGTCTTCACAGGGGATCTGTCTCTGGGGTGCATCTTGTTGACATGGTCTCCGCTGACATTCAGGGCTGTAGAGGTCATCTCTAGGTGATGATCCACCATCTGATCTGGATACGGACTGGATCTAGGTGGGTACGGTGACCTCGGAATAAGAATGAAAGGGACTAATATTAGCGTAGATGCCATTCTTCTTACGATGTAGTGAGTACATTGGGTGCTATGGGAAGTGTTCCCGGTTCCAGTTGACCTAATTAATGCAGCCTAACAATGCTTTAACAGATTTTAATTAGAAATGCGATAGTGTGTTATGTGTAAGCCAGGTTAAAGAGATGGGTCTTTAATCTAGATTTAAACTGACAGAGTGTGTCTGCCTCCCGAACAACCCTAGTTAGATTGTTCCAGAGTTTGGGCACTAAATAGGAAAAGGATCTGCTACCCGCATTAGATTTTGATATTCTAGATATTATCAAATGGCCAGAGTTTTGAGATAGCAGCAAACTATAATGCGATATGAGATTTCAAAATGTATTCGTTGTTCAATAGGGAGCCAGTGCAGTGTTTTCAGAACCGGGCTAATATGGTCATACTTCCTGGTTCTAGTAAGAACTCTAGCTGCTGCATTTTGGACCAGCTGGAGTTTGTTTAAGTGCGGAGAGCAACCACCCAATAAAGTATTACAATAATCTAACCTTAAGGTCATGAACACATGAATTAGCGTTTCTGCATTTGACATTGAGAGCATAGGTCGTAATTTAGATATATTTTTAAGAAAAATGCAGTTTTGCACATGCTGAATTACAAATGATGAATTAATAATATTCATAAGAGGATCTATGACTTCTGGAAGCACCTCTTTTAGTAGCTTATATGGAATAGGGTCTAACATACATGTTGTAGGTTTTGATGATTTGACAAGTTTATACAAATCTTCCTGTCCTATAGCAGAGAATGAGGGGAATTGTTCCTCAGGGGATCTATATGCGATACTGTGGCTAACAGCTGCATGGTTATACTTTTATCTCTAATAGTATCGATCTTGGAAGTAAAGAAGTTCATTAAGTCATTACTGCTGAGCTGTTGGGAAAGGTCTGTGTCTGTTGATGCTTTCTTTTTTTCATTAATTTAGCCCCTGTATTGAATAAATGTCTGGGGATGTGTTTGTTCTCTTCTAAGAGAGATGAAACGTAAGTAGATCTAGCAGTTTTTAGACCTTTTCTATAAGTACTGTAGGTGTAATTTCCTGCCATGCAATACGAAATACCTCTAGTTTTGTTTTCTTCCAGCTGCGCTCCATTTTCCGGGCTGCTCTCTATAAGGTGCGAGTGTGCTCATTATACCACGGTGTCGGACTGTTTTCCTTAATCTTCTGTAAGCATAAAAGAGCAACCCTATCTAAAGTGCTAGAAAAGAGAGAGTCAATAGCTTCTGTTACAACAAGTTTTTCTGAGCTATTGGATATGCTAAGGAATTGAGACAAGTCAGGAAGATTATTTATAAAGCAGTCTTTTGTGGTAGAAGTGATGGTTCTACCATATTTGTAACAAGGAGCTGAATTTGCAGCTTTAGCTATATGGAGTAAACATGAGGGAAGTGTTCCCGGTTCCAGTTGACCTAATTAATGCAGCCTAACAATGCTTTAACAGATTTTAATTAGAAATGTGATAGTGTGTTATGTGTAAGCCAGGTTAAAGAGATGGGTCTTTAATCTAGATTTAAACTGACAGAGTGTGTCTGCCTCCCGAACAACCCTAGTTAGATTGTTCCAGAGTTTGGGCACTAAATAGGAAAAGGATCTGCTACCCGCATTAGATTTTGATATTCTAGATATTATCAAATGGCCAGAGTTTTGAGATAGCAGCAAACTATAATGCGATATGAGATTTCAAAATGTATTCGTTGTTCAATAGGGAGCCAGTGCAGTGTTTTCAGAACCGGGCTAATATGGTCATACTTCCTGGTTCTAGTAAGAACTCTAGCTGCTGCATTTTGGACCAGCTGGAGTTTGTTTAAGTGCGGAGAGCAACCACCCAATAAAGTATTACAATAATCTAACCTTAAGGTCATGAACACATGAATTAGCGTTTCTGCATTTGACATTGAGAGCATAGGTCGTAATTTAGATATATTTTTAAGAAAAATGCAGTTTTGCACATGCTGAATTACAAATGATGAATTAATAATATTCATAAGAGGATCTATGACTTCTGGAAGCACCTCTTTTAGTAGCTTATATGGAATAGGGTCTAACATACATGTTGTAGGTTTTGATGATTTGACAAGTTTATACAAATCTTCCTGTCCTATAGCAGAGAATGAGGGGAATTGTTCCTCAGGGGATCTATATGCGATACTGTGGCTAACAGCTGCATGGTTATACTTTTATCTCTAATAGTATCGATCTTGGAAGTAAAGAAGTTCATTAAGTCATTACTGCTGAGCTGTTGGGAAAGGTCTGTGTCTGTTGATGCTTTCTTTTTTTCATTAATTTAGCCCCTGTATTGAATAAATGTCTGGGGATGTGTTTGTTCTCTTCTAAGAGAGATGAAACGTAAGTAGCAGTTTTTAGACCTTTTCTATAAGTACTGTAGGTGTAATTTCCTGCCATGCAATACGAAATACCTCTAGTTTTGTTTTCTTCCAGCTGCGCTCCATTTTCCGGGCTGCTCTCTATAAGGTGCGAGTGTGCTCATTATACCACGGTGTCGGACTGTTTTCCTTAATCTTCTGTAAGCATAAAAGAGCAACCCTATCTAAAGTGCTAGAAAAGAGAGAGTCAATAGCTTCTGTTACAACAAGTTTTTCTGAGCTATTGGATATGCTAAGGAATTGAGACAAGTCAGGAAGATTATTTATAAAGCAGTCTTTTGTGGTAGAAGTGATGGTTCTACCATATTTGTAACAAGGAGCTGAATTTGCAGCTTTAGCTATATGGAGTAAACATGAGACTAGATAATGATCCGAGATATCATCACTCTGCTGCAGAATTCCAACGCCATTAACATCAATTCCATGTGACAGTATACAATCTTAAGTATGATTATGACAATGAGTAGGCCCTGACACGTGTTATCTAACCGCAGTTTAGAATGTATATACAGTAAATGCTGATCCCAATGCATCTTTTTCATTATTAACATGAATATTAAAATGACCAACAATTAAGACTTTATCTGCAGCCAGCACTAACTCAGATAGAAAATCATCAAATTATTTGATAAAGTCTGTATGGTGCCCTGGTGGCCTGTATACAGTAGCCAGTACAAAAGTCACAGGGGATTGATCATTTACACTATTTCTCTGGATAATGTTATATGAAGCACCATTACTTCAAACTTAGGTCTATAGATTGAAGGATTGTGATCAGCGAAAGAGCACATTGTGATTGGATCAGTCTTTGATCAATGGAATGCTGAAGTCCTCATTCATGCCTTGCACAAATGATAAGCTTGAGGGAGAACAAAGCAGTTCCTGAATGGGGGGTTACTGTACTGTACTTCCTGGTTCTAGTAAGTACCACAAGAGGTAGTGTTGTTTATCTTAAGGCACAAGCATCCTTTGTTGTCCACAAAGCCTGATCTCTTCGGAATGAAACGGGGTTGCCATCTTGCTGATGTTCACTACATCTGATCCAGCATGTGCACAGTGTAACAGAGGACATGTGTTGTCATCTGAGGAATTAATTGTTAGTTGATGAGAGAGCAGTCTGCATCATTGGGAAACATTTACTGACCATCATAGTAAGCCTTTTTAGACTTTGATGTGCTGAAATGTCCTTGAAATGTTTAGCTGCCCTTTTAAAAAGAAAGCATTGGTTTGATTTGAGTTTTTTTTTATCTGTAGATGTGGATGAATGTCAGAGCAGACGACACAATTGTCAGTTCTCATGTGTCAACTCCATCGGTGGATTCACCTGCAAGTGTCCGGCAGGCTTCACCCAGCATCACACGGCCTGCAAAGGTGAAACACACATTCAGATGACCCTTTAACAACAAAAGCAGGAAACTTTACATCACTTCTTGATAAACACACAAGTAGTGCTTGGAAACATTACAGTTGTGAGTTTTGTTTCTGTATGTGATGATTATCATAAATGAAGTGAAAAGCAGTATGTCAGGTGAGTGTCATGACCTGTGATTTTCAATGTTAAGGTGCTTCTTTCTTTCTTCTCTTAGATATTAATGAATGTTTGTCTGAGCGGGGTCCGTGCGGTCAGCGGAGCATCTGTCAGAATTCAGTGGGCAGCTTCAACTGTGAGTGTCCACAGGGCTTCATTCTGGACTCTCTCGGCCTCAACTGTGATGGTACGGCTCTCTTTAGAGTTTGGGCACTAAATAGGAAAAGGATCTGCTACCCGCATTAGATTTTGATATTCTAGATATTATCAAATGGCCAGAGTTTTGAGATAGCAGCAAACTATAATGCGATATGAGATTTCAAAATGTATTCGTTGTTCAATAGGGAGCCAGTGCAGTGTTTTCAGAACCGGGCTAATATGGTCATACTTCCTGGTTCTAGTAAGAACTCTAGCTGCTGCATTTTGGACCAGCTGGAGTTTGTTTAAGTGCGGAGAGCAACCACCAAATAAAGTATTACAATAATCTAACCTTAAGGTCATGAACACATGAATTAGCGTTTCTGCATTTGACATTGAGAGCATAGGTCGTAATTTAGATATATTTTTAAGAAAAATGCAGTTTTGCACATGCTGAATTACAAATGATGAATTAATAATATTCATAAGAGGATCTATGACTTCTGGAAGCACCTCTTTTAGTAGCTTATATGGAATAGGGTCTAACATACATGTTGTAGGTTTTGATGATTTGACAAGTTTATACAAATCTTCCTGTCCTATAGCAGAGAATGAGGGGAATTGTTCCTCAGGGGATCTATATGCGATACTGTGGCTAACAGCTGCATGGTTATACTTTTATCTCTAATAGTATCGATCTTGGAAGTAAAGAAGTTCATTAAGTCATTACTGCTGAGCTGTTGGGAAAGGTCTGTGTCTGTTGATGCTTTCTTTTTTTCATTAATTTAGCCCCTGTATTGAATAAATGTCTGGGGATGTGTTTGTTCTCTTCTAAGAGAGATGAAACGTAAGTAGCAGTTTTTAGACCTTTTCTATAAGTACTGTAGGTGTAATTTCCTGCCATGCAATACGAAATACCTCTAGTTTTGTTTTCTTCCAGCTGCGCTCCATTTTCCGGGCTGCTCTCTATAAGGTGCGAGTGTGCTCATTATACCACGGTGTCGGACTGTTTTCCTTAATCTTCTGTAAGCATAAAAGAGCAACCCTATCTAAAGTGCTAGAAAAGAGAGAGTCAATAGCTTCTGTTACAACAAGTTTTTCTGAGCTATTGGATATGCTAAGGAATTGAGACAAGTCAGGAAGATTATTTATAAAGCAGTCTTTTGTGGTAGAAGTGATGGTTCTACCATATTTGTAACAAGGAGCTGAATTTGCAGCTTTAGCTATATGGAGTAAACATGAGACTAGATAATGATCCGAGATATCATCACTCTGCTGCAGAATTCCAACGCCATTAACATCAATTCCATGTGACAGTATACAATCTTAAGTATGATTATGACAATGAGTAGGCCCTGACACGTGTTATCTAACCGCAGTTTAGAATGTATATACAGTAAATGCTGATCCCAATGCATCTTTTTCATTATTAACATGAATATTAAAATGACCAACAATTAAGACTTTATCTGCAGCCAGCACTAACTCAGATAGAAAATCATCAAATTATTTGATAAAGTCTGTATGGTGCCCTGGTGGCCTATATAGAGTAGCCAGTACAAAAGTCACAGGGGATTGATCATTTACACTATTTCTCTGGATAATGTTATATGAAGCACCATTACTTCAAACTTAGGTCTATAGATTGAAGGATTGTGATCAGCGAAAGAGCACATTGTGATTGGATCAGTCTTTGATCAATGGAATGCTGAAGTCCTCATTCATGCCTCGCACAAATGATAAGCTTGAGGGAGAACAAAGCAGTTCCTGAATGGGGGGTTACTGTACTGTACTTCCTGGTTCTAGTAAGTACCACAAGAGGTAGTGTTGTTTATCTTAAGGCACAAGCATCCTTTGTTGTCCACAAAGCCTGATCTCTTCGGAATGAAACGGGGTTGCCATCTTGCTGATGTTCACTACATCTGATCCAGCATGTGCACAGTGTAACAGAGGACATGTGTTGTCATCTGAGGAATTAATTGTTAGTTGATGAGAGAGCAGTCTGCATCATTGGGAAACATTTACTGACCATCATAGTAAGCCTTTTTAGACTTTGATGTGCTGAAATGTCCTTGAAATGTTTAGCTGCCCTTTTAAAAAGAAAGCATTGGTTTGATTTGAGTTTTTTTTTATCTGTAGATGTGGATGAATGTCAGAGCAGACGACACAATTGTCAGTTCTCATGTGTCAACTCCATCGGTGGATTCACCTGCAAGTGTCCGGCAGGCTTCACCCAGCATCACACGGCCTGCAAAGGTGAAACACACATTCAGATGACCCTTTAACAACAAAAGCAGGAAACTTTACATCACTTCTTGATAAACACACAAGTAGTGCTTGGAAACATTACAGTTGTGAGTTTTGTTTCTGTATGTGATGATTATCATAAATGAAGTGAAAAGCAGTATGTCAGGTGAGTGTCATGACCTGTGATTTTCAATGTTAAGGTGCTTCTTTCTTTCTTCTCTTAGATATTAATGAATGTTTGTCTGAGCGGGGTCCGTGCGGTCAGCGGAGCATCTGTCAGAATTCAGTGGGCAGCTTCAACTGTGAGTGTCCACGGGGCTTCATTCTGGACTCTCTCGGCCTCAACTGTGATGGTACGGCTCTCTTTGTGTGTGTGTGTGTGTGTGTGTGTGTGTGTGTGTGTGTGTGTGAGATTGAAATGTTTTATCTGAATTTTTCTAGCAAGTTTTCCTTTCACCAGAACCATCATTTGCATTTAGCTAAAATGTAGGCTACTGTAAGATTGGAAATGTATTTTCTTGCCCCTGAAACACATTTTGAAACATTTTTTGGTATATGAAGATTGAAACTAAATATGTTTTCAATTTCATTAATAATTCACCACTTCAATGCTTATAACATACTGTATATTAAGCATGTATTTAAAATATACTGTTACCAGAAAAAAATGCCATATGGGATATGTGAGCATGAATGAATGTTACAGGTGTGTGATGGGTGCATGTAGTTTGCAGTTTTTGAACTGAACTGCTGTTTCTGTCTCTGTCAGATGTAGATGAGTGTGCGCCTGATCACAGGTGTCAGTTCGGTTGTCAGAATGTTGCGGGTGGTTTCCGCTGCAGCTGTCCAGATGGATACACACAGCACCAGCAGTGGAACCAGTGTGTGGGTCAGTACACACACAAACCTTCCCCATTATTATTGTTCATTTTCATATATTTACAGGATGTTGTAAATACATGAGCTCATGATTGTCATGTGATTAGTGTATGTGCTTCAGACACATTGAGCCCATGGTGCTCACATTTTTTAAATTACTGTTGTAATTACAGTTTACATATGCTACTGACCTTTTCTGTCCTACAGATGACAATGAGTGTTTGAACCCGGGCAGCTGTGGTTTAGCATCTTGTTTTAACACATTGGGCAGTTTTAAGTGTGGCTGTCCATCTGGCTTCACCTTTGACCCCGTGTCCACTAGCTGTGAGGATGTGGACGAGTGTGTGTCCTTCATGAGCCCCTGCAGATATGGCTGCTCAAACACACAGGGTGGATTCATGTGTGGATGTCCGGCAGGATATTACAGAGCAGGACAGGGGTGAGATGTATACTAAATAATCTTACAGGTCATAGAATTATTGACTCATATCAGTGGTCAGTTTACAGCCATGTGTCATCTAAATAACAGTACAGGTAATAGTCAATAATGTATTTCATTATATTGTACAAATTATTAAACTATGCATTGGTTTGTGATTGTTTTGTTTAAACTGTTAAAATATAACTTAATTATCACCATACTTCTGATATTATCTAACAAACTATTTTGACATTGTTTGCTTTTTAATCTAAACCATGCGTTCATCAAACAACAGTGGTAAGTCAGAATCATTCAACAATCACAGTGAGTAATGGCTTCTTCTCCTGGTATTGTCACTTGCAAACTGCAGTGCAAACTCATCTCTTTAAACGCTACTTGACTTAATCTTAAAAAAAAATCGGCAAAATGACTAAATGTAAATGTAAATTTATAGTGCAGTGGCATAGTCACGAGTGGGCCTGGGGGGGCCTAGGCGCCCTCATTTACATGTCCAGCCCCCCCCCAGATTTCTTATTGATTAAAGAAAATTAAGGAATTGAATGTTTCAGGGAAAACAGCAAGGAGACTACCTTACCATTTTAATAATTTACTGATCAAGTCAAGTCACCTTTATTTGTATAGCACTTTATACAATACTGATTGTGTCAAAGCAGCTTTACAGTATTAAACAGGAAAATACTTTGTCAATAATCCAAGAAGACAATAACAAAGAGTCATTTTTTCAGATAAAGTCAGTTCATTGATGATTCAGTGATGTCATCATCCAGTTCAGCTCTCTTCAATAGTGTCTGTGCAATCAGTCAAGCATCCCCAACTAAGCAAGCCAAAGGAACCAAAACTCCATCGGTGACAGAAATGGAGAAAAAACCTTGGGAGAAACCAGGCTCAGTTGGGGTCCAGTTCTCCTCTGGCCAGATGAAACCAGCATGGAGTGGTTTAATTCCAGACTGCAGCACTAGTGTAGAGGTCTTGTCTGTTTCCTGTGGTCTTGTGCCGATGGTCGTTGAGGTGATGTGGTCTTCACTGGGGATCTGTCTCTGGGGCACATCTAGTTGACATGGTCTCTGCGGACATTCAGGGCAGTAGAGGTCCTCTCTATGTGCTGATCCACCATCTGGTTTGAATACAGGCTGGATCTGGTGGCTACGGTGACCTCAGAATAAGAGAGAAACAGACTAATATTAGCGTAGATGCCATTCTTCTTACGATATAGCGAGTACATCGAGTGTTATGGGAAGTGTTCCCGGTTCCGGTTGACCTAATTAATGCAGCCTAACAATCCTTTAACAGATTTGAATATTAGAAGCGTATTAGTGTGTTATGTGTATGCCAGGTTAAAGAGATGGGTCTTTAATCTAGATATAAACTGACAGAGTGTTTCTGCCTCCCGAACCGTATTAGGTAGATTGTTGAAAATTGGCACACACATTGGAATCTGCGGCTATTAGGCCGCTGCAGAGGCTGGGACCCGGGCGTGACACAGGGGCTCTACGGCGCCCCCTGGAAAACAGTCAGAAAACTTGATGTATATCTCACACATACTTGCACGTATTCATATAAAACTCTGTGCACATATAGATCTCATCAAAATGTGCAGGGCTGGGGGTACTCCAGGACAGGTTTGAGAACAACTGTTCTAGGTATTATCAAATGGCCAGAGTTTTGAAATTGCAGCGTACGTGAAGGACAATAATGCAATAAGAGCTCACTCAAGTACTGAGGAGCTAAACCATTCAGGGCTTTATAAGTAATTAGCAAGATTTTAAAATGTATTTGTTGTTCAATAGGTAGCCAGTGCAGTGTTTTCAGAACCGGGCTAATATGGTCGTACTTCCTGGTTCTAGTAAGAACTCTAGCTGCTGCATTTTGGACCAGCTGGAGTTTGTTTAAGTGCAGAGAGCAACCACCCAATAAAGCATTACAATAATCTAACCTTGAGGTCATAAACGCATTAATTAACATTTACATTTAGTCATTTAGCAGACGCTTTTATCCAAAACAACTTACAAATGAGGACAATAGAAGCAATCAAAACTAACAAAAGAGCAACAATATGTAAGTGCAAATGCAGGGGCCCCACTAAGGGGGGGGGGGAGTTAGGACGATTCTAAGGGGCCATGTTTTATTATTAGTAGTAATGTAATAGAAATTATAAATGTATCTACCAAAGAGTTACAAATAAAAAAATTACGGCTTATTTCTGCATTTCCGGCAAAATTATCTCCCCCTATTTGCTGCATGGTTTCGTCCCGTCCCATGTAGCCTAGAGTCACTGAGTGAAATCAGATCGCACTTTTAAACACATTTTAGTTTTGCTATAGAAAATCTACAAATTCTCACTCTGATTACACAGAGCAGCAGCGTGAGGTTGTCATGGCAGCCAGATACACTGCACGCGAATTACAGCTGCGCTTCTATTTTGCCACACTAAACTTCTCAAATGATCTCAAAGGAGGCTTTTATTAAGCAAATGAAGGAGTGAATTACTCATCCACTGTTTAAAAAATACTTGTTTTTTTACAGCCTATAGTTTCCACAGGCAGTGTCACAATTATCTACAGTGTATGAATCTAAAGGTTTTTGGGTTAAGATTCATAATATAGAACATTTTTAACATTGTATGCTGTATGTGCATAGGTAGCTAGCAAACAAGGAATACAGCTGTTAAGCTAATAGTCACATTTAGC